TTATTTTTTACTTATTTATTTGAGAGAGAGAGAATGAGAGACAGAGAGCACGAGAGGGAAGAGGGCAGAGGGAGAAGCAGACCCCCTGCTCAGCAGGGAGCCCGATGTGGGACTCGATCCCCGGGACTCCAGGATCATGACCTGAGCCGAAGGCAGTCGCTTAACCAACTGAGCCACCCAGGTGCCCGACCACCCCATTCTAAGGCTATCTAGGAGCCCTATCCTGAGTAACCTTAAAAGCATAGACTCAGGTGTGGACAGAGGGGATAATTAATGAATAAGACACTTCTATCACTTAGGAAAATCCAAGCGTTTTAGGAGCTTTGCCAGAAACCAGGGACAAAGACCAAATATATATTTTTATTATACCACAAAAACATTCAGTAAATATAGCAATTAAGAATGAGAGAAGAAGGAAAGATAGTTTGACTTTTTAATTTGTTGTACAGAAAAAATCCTTTTGCTCAAAAATCCTGTTAATATTTTTATGATATGTTTCATGATTATATCTATGGAGAGGATCATATATTTATATGAGTTACATTAATCTGTTTCCTAATAATTGAATCTTGGCATTCCAGGAATAAATCCCACTTGATCCTACTGGATTCTACTTGCCAACATTTTGTACAGTCTTTGATGTAGTGTGAGATTAGTCTGTATTTTCTCCCAGTTTCATTTCTTTCCACAGATGGCCCCCAGACCTCCTCCCAAGCTTATCCTGTATGTAGCTGTTTTTCCTTTTAGACTCAGCGTAGTTACCATCTCGTTTATTCATTCAGCAATATGATTGAACACCTGTTGTGTATCGGACACCGAGCAGAAATTGGGAATAAGAGAATGAGCAAACAGATTCAGATCACCCTTGGTCTCTTGGTTCTTACAGTGTTAAGTCTTGTTTCCTTTGGGAATTCTTAACCCCTCAGTCCATGTTAAATTTATTTCCTATTCTTCCATAGTTTTCAGTTCTCAAAGTGTGGTCCTTGGACCCTCCGGGGGTTTCCCAGACCCTTTCAGAGGATCTGTGATGTCAAAACTACTTTCATAATAATACTGAGCTATTTGCTCTTTTACTGTGTTGATATTTGCGCTGATGGTGCGGAAGCACCGGAGGGGGTAAAACTGCTGTCCTTTTAGGACAGATTGAGGCAGCAGCACCAGACTCTGCTGGGAGTCACTTTATTCCTTACCTTCTTGTACTTAAAAGAAAAAAGTCATTTTGACTTAAAGATGTCCTTGATGAATCAATAAGGACTGTCAGTTTTATTAAATCTTGACCACTGAGTACATGTCTTTTTAATGTTCTGTGAAACAAAATGGAAATTATGCATAAAGTGTTTCTGCTGGTTGTCAAAGTATTGATTACCTTGAGGAAAAGAACCTGTGTAATGGAGCTGCGAGCTGTGTTTTGTTGTTTTTTTTTAAAGATTTTATTTATTTATTTGAGAGAGAGAATGAGAGACAGCACAAGAGGGAAGAGGGTCAGAGGAAGAAGCAGACCCCCTGCTGAGCAGGGAGCCCGATGCGGGACTGGAGCCCGATGCGGGACTCGATCCCGGGACTCCAGGATCATGACCTGAGCCGAAGGCAGTCGCTTAACCAACTGAGCCACCCAGGCGCCTGTGAGCTGTGTTTTTGTTATTCAGACAGGGATATTTGGCAGATAATTTCTTAAATAAAGTGCTGTCACATCAAGGAAAATAACACGATACTTGTTGGCAATGATAAAATTCAAGGTTTTGAGTGAAATTCAAATTTTGGAAAACTTGTATATACCATCATGAGCTTGACAGTTTCCCAGTTATTAAAGATATATATATATATATATATATATATTTAAAGATTTTATTTATTTATTTGAGAGAGAGAATGAGAGAGAGAGAGAGCATGAGAGGGGGAGGGTCAGAGGGAGAAGCAGACTCCCCGCCGAGCAGGGAGCCCCATGCGGGACTCGATCCCGGGACTCCAGGATCATGACCTGAGCCGAAGGCAGTCGCTTAACCAACTGAGCCACCCAGGTGCCCTAAAGATATTTTTGATGAGATTGGTGGCGCCTGGCTGGCTCAGTTGGCAGAGCATGCCACTCTTTATCTCAGGGTTATAAGTTCGAACCCTACAGTGGGTGTAGAGATTACTTAAAAATGTTTTTTTAAAAAGTTCAGTAAACAGATACATACATGTATTTTTCACTGGAGTGTGTTATACATTGGGTTGTAACCAAACTTCAGTCAGGCTATAGAACATTTCCATTACCCTAGAAAGTTCCCTTTTGCTTTTTTCCTGCAAGCCCCCACATCCTTACTTTGAGGCAGACAGTTTGGATTTCTATCACCAGAGCTTAATTTTGCCTGTTTTAGAGTTTCATGCAAGTGGATCCACACGGTATAGATTCTTTTATGCCTGGCTTCTTCACTCAGTATCAAAAATAAATGCAGCTGGACATTTAAGTGGTGAATGGGATTTTATTCAGTAACTACAATAGGAGAAAGAGCTGAGCTCCATTCCGAATTGCACAGAGGTGATGGGACCTTTTAAAGGGCAAATGCAGAAGAGGGGAGAGCGGGAGCTCAGTAGAGTCAGAGAAGTGAAAAATCACTAATGGTTAGTCTGTAAATTCAATTAGGCCTACAGTATGGTAGCAGGCAGTTACCGAAGTTCGAAGTTTGGGTTCTATCCTCCCACAGGGACTGGGAGTCCTTCCAGATGATTACACTTCAAAGGAATGGCTGTGGAGTCCTTGAGAAGGACCCTGCTGAGTTGTAAGGGATAAATATTCACTGTTGTAAGCCCTTTTTAGTAAATGCTGTAAGAAAGGGAGGTTAAGGGCCTATTGTCAGGTTTTGGCTGGAACAAACAGTAAATTCTGGCGCTTTCTCCAGCAGGTAGTCTAATGGCGCTCGGGCTGGGGTGATTCTAGGAGCAAGGCTTATGCTGTTAGAAGCCCATCTGTGCTAAAGTTGGACCACTCTTGGCACAGAAATTTTGGATAGAGGTGTTAGATGCTGAGAGTTTTGCAGTTTTCATTTAACGTTTTTGAGATTCATGTTAATGCATGAGTCGGTAGGTCGCACTATTTTATCACTGAGCAGTACTGCCTTGTGTCTTTGTTTATCTGTTCTATAGGTGGATACTCAGTTTTTAATTTGGGGGAATAAATTGCTGTGAGCATTCTGGACACAGGCGTTCATTTCTCTAGGGTTAACACCTGACCTTTTCGTTTAACTTGTTTATCTTCTCTCCTGGTCATCTCCTAGTGCCTAAAACATATTAAGTCCACAAGAATATTTTTGAGTGAATTAGAGATGAATTTGAACCTTGAGTGCCACCAGAAGACTATATGTTATGGTGCAAAGTCTATTAGCCTGGTGCTTGGGACTTCTCAACTCTAGGCCCACCTTTGCCTCTAATCAACAGTAGTCTTTAACAAGTCACACGATCTCTTTGCAGGTTTTTTCCTTTTTGAAAAAAAAATTTTTTTAAGATAATCTCTACACCCAACATAGAGCTTGTACTCATGATCATGATCAAGCGTCGCATACTCTACAGACCTAGCCATCCAGGCACCCCAGGTTTCTTCTTGTAAGTGAAGGAATTATAATAAATGAGCTACACAGCTTCCTTCTAGCCTGAATATTCTATGATCCCAAGTGGGAAGAACTGATAGAAGTCATGATACCAGTGAAGAATAGACTGCGAAATGTTGAGATGCAGATCCAGTGGGAGTTTGTGATAGGAGCGGTTGTTACTTTTAGGTGGGGATATCAGGAAAAAGCTCATAAACATATTGCAGAGTTTACTTTCTAAAACCGTTTTATTAGCCAAGGGTATCATTGAGGAGTACTTCAAATGAAAGAAATCAACAAATAAAAAACTTGGCTCTTATTTTAAAAAGACAAACCTATTTTGTATAGGATTTGGTTAGATGTTCATGAAAAGGTAAGACAGAGAAATCTGGAATTTTATATCTTTGATGATGAAGTAGTTCCTAGAATTTTGGTCATTCACACAGCAGATATTTAGAAAAGATACTGATTTGTTGAGGAAAAGTAACAAATGGCAGGAAATGGCATTATTGAGATACTACAATGTATTAGACATTTTAGATCACCTTGAAGCTCCTGGCCCTGCTGCCTCCTAGAAATTGTTATTTAAATACGAATCTTGGGGCGCCTGGATGGCTCAGTCGTTAAGTGTCTGCCTTCAGCTCAGGTCATGATCTCGTGATCCCAGCGTCCTGGGATCGAGCCCCACATGGGGCTCCCTACTCAGTGGGAAGCCTGCTTCTCCCTCTCCCACTTCCCCTGCTTGTGTTTCCTCTCTCACTGTCTCTCTCTCTCTGTCAAATAAATAAATAAAATCTTTAAAAAAAAAATACAAATCTTGACTTTTTAAAAAATAACCTTTAAGAAAGCAGTTAACTTTCTTATGTAAATGGATAGCAAAAGGTGAAGCTTGCCCCACATTTTCTTGCTTTTAAAGGATAATGTTTTTGGGTTTTTTTAGGATTTTATTTATGTATTTGAGAGGGAGAGAAAATGAGCAGGGCCGCGGGAGGGGCAGAAGGAGAGGGAAAAGCAGGCTCCCTGCTAAGTTTGGCGCCCAACTTGGCGCCCAACGCAAGGGCTTTATCCTAGGACCCTGGGATTATGACCTGAGCTGAAAGCAACTGCCCAACCAACTGAGCCACCCAGGCGCCCCAAAGGATAATGTTCTTTTTTTTTTTAAAGATTTTATTTATTTATTTGACAGAGAGAGACATGGCGAGAGAGGGAACACAGCAGAGGGAGTGGGAGAGGGAGAAGCAGGCTCCCCTCAGAGCAGGGAGCCCCATGTGGGGCTTGATCCCAGTACCCTGGGATCATGACCTGGCCAAAGGCAGACGCCCAACGACTGAGCCACCCAGGCGCCCCAAGGATAATGTTCTTAATAATGAACTAGAGTTTCTTGTGATCTGCTAGTCAAGTTTAATGACATAATGTGTTTTTCCCTCTTTCCCTCAGATTTGGATCATACAGCAGATGTCCAGTGAGTACACCTGCAATTTATGCCTTTGAAGTCATGTTCTTAAATAGGAAGTCTGATGTTTTAATCTTGCTGTCCCTACTTTTAATTCTCTTCCTATTTTGGTTTCTTCACAACATGAAAATGATGATTTAAAAGAACCTGATTTCCATGCCATTAGATTGATTGAGGCCTTTGGATTTGTATTTATCATGCTGATTTTATTTTGACCTTGCTGTCAAGTTTTCTCTCTTGCTGTAGATTTTATTACACAGGGCATAAATGTATTTCCTTAGGTTACATGCGTGGGGAGATACTCTGGAGGAAGCATTTGAACAATGTGCAATGGCCATGTTTGGTTACATGACAGATACTGGGACTGTGGAGCCCCTGCAAACAGTAGAAGTAGAAACCCAAGGTAACCAATTTATTCACACGGAAGAAATTGTCATGCAAATCTGCAGTGTTCTACATAAGTTAAGTACATTTTCACAGTAAGAACAACAAAATTAATTCATGAGCCTGTTCTTCCTCTTTTGGCTAGCCTAAGAAATTCCTTGCACTTTTAAATTCAAACAAGTTTTTAGAGACAAGAATTATTAAACCTCATACTATCGTGATTCTTCATGATCCTTTGTAGGAGATGACTTACAGTCTCTGCTGTTTCACTTTTTGGATGAGTGGCTTTATAAGTTCAGTGCTGATGAATTCTTCATACCCCGGGTAAGCAAGGGTTTTTCTTTTTTACTGAGCAATGGGTTCTTAGTTCAGATTTTAAAAGAAAAAGTGATTGAGAATAGAACACATGATGCAAAACCAAGCCATATGGATACATAAGATGATACTGATTTGCAGAAAATAGGGACTTGGTTAACCTGACTTGACCTATGTATATGCATTTTGTAATATTTAGATCTCTTACCATATACTTGTCACTAATCAGGATTGTGTGATAAGAATGGACCTGCTATCGTCACCCACACTTTTTATGTCTCCCAAGTTTGAACTATATTTATGTCCATCCATGTGTTCCTTTGTCCCCATGCGAAATTTAGCCTAAATGTTGGCCTAAATTTAAAAATTGTTCTCAGCTTTCCTTAACATGAAAAGGGAAAAGCCAAATGGATATTGCTTGCTGCCATCAACCTCGAGAAGGGAACCCCTCTCCAACATCATTGTTAACCTAACACATAGGGCCCTCCTTGTTTCCACACCCCTCCATTCTCTCCCTTCCCAGCCTCACTACATACATTCTTCTAACTGGTCACTTGTCTTACAGAGGTCAAGAGCCTACAGTGTTATTTACAAATGGGCTGAGAATGATTGAAATCCTGTATCATCCTATTCTGTTTTACAGAGAAATTTTTTGACGCATGTTTTTAGATTGTACATTTTTCAGGAATATTTCCCTTGAATATGTATGAAAAAGCCTTATTTCCTTGAAATATATTTCATTTGTTCTACTTTAGTTAACATTTTAATTTTCTTTGCTTCAGAGAAATAGTATGCTATTATTTTCTAGGAAAGGGGATAACCTAGACATATTTTTGTAAATTTAAAGTATAGTTGATATACAATATTATATTAGTTTCAGGTGTACAACATAGTATTTTGACAATTATTAGACATATTTTAGTAGATGGTCTGTTATGAGCATTTTTTTAAATTAAATTTTTTTTTCCTCTTTAGGAAGTGAAAGTACTTCAAATTGATCAAAGAAATTTCAAATTACGGTCAATTGGGTATGTTTTGAAAATCTTTTTGTGCTCGCTTTGGCAGCACATATATGAAAATCTTTTAAGTAGCAAGTCATGAAGGTTGTTAAAAATCTGCACTGAACCTAGGAGGCAGGAAGACAAAAATGTAAAGTCAGAGGTCCAGTTGCATCCCAGTGGAGCTCTGCAGGTTAAGCTTTATGAGCCCTAGGAGCAAGGGTTTTGGTCCTCAGCTTTGGAGGACCAGAAATTTGTCAGAATGAAGTTGATACTGGTTCTTGAAACTGATTCCCAATTTACTGATTTTTAGCGTAAAATTTTTTTGCATGAAACCTGGCTGGGTGACAGGAAGCACTGATGCATCCTTTTTGTAGATCCTAACACCTGGACTCTGTTCAAACTAGTTCCTTCTGTTAACAAATTACACTTTTCCTTCCAGAGTTTCAAACACTTGATTAGATCTCTTTGATTGGACTTGGTGTTTCTCAAATCTCTTCAGTCACTTAAGGATATCTTTTAGGTTATTTCTATATGAAGTCCATTTTTTTCCACTTTATGTTGAATTTGATTTCTTTCTTTTTGTAAAATGAGGTCTTTTATTATTTCCCCTCCTTTTCTTTTTTCTTTCTTTCTTTTTTTTTTAAATGGGTAAGGAATCCGGCTTCTCCAAGGGTACTTAGCTAATGCATAGTTGAACAGAATTTTAAAGCTTTGTTATTTCGGGGTGTCTGGGTGGCACAGTCACTTGAATGTCGGACTCTTGGTTTTGGCTCAGGTCATAATCTCAAGGTGGGACTGAGCCCTCTTTTGGGCTCCACGCTTGGCAGAGTCTGCTTGGGATTCTCTCTCCCTCTCCTCCTCCCTCTGCACCCACCTGAGCCCTGCTCTCTCCCTCTTCTCTTGAATAAATAAATCATTAAAAAAAAAACCCACAAAGCTTTGTTCTTTCTGCTACCACTACTGCTTCTCCTGTGATCTCTAGTCACATTTGTGTTGAAGGCAGAGAAGATACTTATCCCAGGTTCTAGGAGAGTACCTTTCTAGGGCCTTCTGTATACAGGCCATGGACATTTTCTGAAAAGTTATAAAATGCAAACTGATTTAAGATAATAATCCTACAGCATGTATTTTGCCTCTGCAGTACTCAGACCTGCTTTCTGCAATAGGAGATAGTAATTAATTAGTTCTGTAGCTTTGAATACAGTGAAAATTTTGAACATGCTACTCTATTATAAAACAATAGTCATTAAACAATGTATATTAAGAATCTACCACATGCACACTGTACAAGGGCACTTTTTTTTTTTACGGCAACCATCAACCTTGTTGAAATAGCTATAGCACATAAGTCCCTCAACAGCTGTATTTACTGGCAATCAAACTGAAATTAATAGCTTCCTTAGCCCTCCCATCTCTTTTAGTTTCTCATATCTTAACCACATTGATAAGGTTTATTTTAAAATATGTAAAGGATAAATAAATATTAAATCTTGGAAGTCTTAATCATGTCTTAATTTTCCTTCTCAAGGTGGGGAGAAGAATTTTCATTGTCCAAGCACCCTCAGGTATGTTTTTAAATCCAGCCATTAAAAACATTTTATACTTCCTCACCATGAAGTCAGTATATGACGGTAAACCTCAGTGAGTTCTAATAAAATGGTGTAAAGTCATAAGGTTTCCTCAGACTTCTCTGACCCTGTTATGTCTAAACACTGGGACTACACACATCTGACTTGGTGGGTTAGGAGTCAGTACTTGGGTTTTAGGGACAGGTTTGTTACAGATTTTTGTGAGACTTAAAAGTCCCTTTGCCTTTTCGAGCTTTTGTATCTTTCCCTTTAATGAAGGTGTTGGACTGAATGTTCGTTCTCTAAAGCACCTTCTACTTTCTGTGCATCTCCAGATTCTGTATTTGCCACCCTGTGTGGCTTTACTCTATACCAGTCAGATGTGTATGGAGGAATGGGGGCAGGCACATGCTTTCTGTAAAGGGCTAGATCATGTTTGAAGCTTCGTGGAACAAGAGTGATAGAAGAGCAGTATTCAGCTCCTCTGTTGTAACACTGCAGCTGCCGTAGACAACACAGAGATGCACGACTGTGGCTGTAATCCAATAAAACGTCATGGCCGCTGAAATCTGAATTTTATATCATTTTCAAATGTCATGAGATATTCTTTTGTGGGTTTTTTTCCCCCAACCATTTAGAAATGTAAAAGCCATTCTTGGGCAGGGGGCTGTACAAAACCAGGTAGCAGGCTGGATTTGGCCCGTGATTTGCAGTTTGCTGACCCCTGTGTTTAGGCCAGGGAGACCTAAATTAGTTCAGGGTGACTGAGGACTCCAGGTTTCTTCTAGGAGTTGCAGTATCATTTCTTCAAGCACAGCATGATGAAATGAAGCCTGGTGAGGGAACCTTGGGAGAGAAGCATTAAAGAAGAGAAACCAGGAGAGGGGGCCATGTGAATTATAATACAAAAGACACAGTGGAACTTTCTTTTGAACATACTATGTTTGAGGTGTATATTAGGTATCTAAATGGAGATGTCACATAATAGGCACTTGTCTGTAGGATGACTTGTTTGGGAGATAGGTGGATCTGGAGATCTCAATCTGGAAGCCATCACTGAATAGACGATATTTATAGCCATAGGACTAGATAAGATTACCAAGGAGGGAGGTGTAGATAAGAGAGCGTATGGTGAGGACTGAGCTCTGGGGCACTAACTTTGGAAGAGACAGAGCCAAAAAGGAAAGGAGAAGGAGAGCCTCATGAGAGGGAGCAAAAGAAGAAGGGTGCCCTAAAGCCAGATAGCAAATGCTCTTGAGACTGCTCAGAGTGAGATGAGGATTGACAGTTGACCATGGATTTACTAATCAGTGGAAAGATGTGTGGGTCAAAGAGTGAATGAGTGAGAGAGAGGGAAGTGGAGGCAGCACATTGAGACAATTCTTTCAAAGAGTTTGCAGAAAAAGGGAACATACTGGATAGACCAGTAATAGCCAGAGGGGAATGTGGTGGGGAAGGGAAAAGTTGTTTTGTTTTGTCTTGTTTCGGTGAAGAGGTTTTGTAGCAGCAAGGAGTAGTGTAGGCTATGTGGAAGTGATCTAGGAACTCAGGGCAAATGGATCATGCTGGAGAGGGAGAGAATAATTTCAGAGCAAAGACCTTAAGTTGGTAAGGGGGTTAGAGGACAGAGTGTCCAGGGTCAGGGGTCAGCCTTCTGATAGGAACAGGGCCGGGCTGTTCGTTGTAACAGGAGGCAAAGCTCATGTGAGTACAGACGCAGGAGATGGTAGATTTGATGGGAGATGAGCCAGTTCTTCCTGATTGCTCCTGTTTTCTCTAGGAGGCACGGCCTGAGGGTGAGAATGAGGGAGGGATGCTGGTGGTGAAGATGCAAAGTAATGGTTTCAGAGGGTGAGAAGGTCTCAAGTGTAGGTTGAGGACCCTTCTGAGACTGTGGACATGATTTCAGGTGATAACCAGTTAGCATGGTGCGTGCTGCTATAGGCAGAAAGTTGAACTGGATTTAGGTTGTGGTTTCACCAGGTGATTAGGGCAGAGGGAAAAAAAGCAAAAGTGGGTGCCTTTCAAATCTGTCTGCGAAATCATCAGATTTCTTTTGTGCCATGGAGCTAGCAAATGCCAGTCACCTATTGCCCGAGACATTTCGCACTACACGGAATTCTTGTAGATTCTTTTCTAGAACAGGAAGGAACTAAGAGGATGTCTAATCCTGGGGTTCTAAACTGGGGCAGGGGAGGAGGGGTTGTCATGTATCAAACACATGGAGAGAGAACCCCATGATAAAGTGAGTGGGCAGCGGAGGAGGAGAGAAGAGTCTGTGTTCCTCGGGCCCGGGTCACACTGCAAGCAGGAGGTCTTGAGGAGCCCTGAGCCAGGCAGTAGGAGAGCTTTGGGCTCCTCCACTCAAGCCATTTGGTAAACGGGAAAGCGGGTGCTGGAGGGGTCAGACAGCGTCCGTAGCCAGGCGGGAACAAAGCCAGGCCTCGAGCTGCAGCCCTTAACCGCCCAGCCAGCTCGCTTTCCCTGTGCACACATTGCATTGTTGCTGGATGAGTGGGGAGTGCTGTACAAGTACTACTTGTTTCATGTGGCTTTTTAGTTTTTCAGAATAATAGTAACGTTTGGCCTTTCTGCCAGTTGTTGCTAGAATAAATAATTCTGATTTCGATGTTCACTTTTTCTTTCTTGTTTTTTCTCTAACCCCTGCTTTAGGGAACTGAAGTCAAGGCAATAACCTACTCAGCAATGCAGGTCTATAATGAAGAGAAGCCAGAAGTTTTTGTGATCATTGACATTTAAGATACCAAAAAACAAAACAAAACAAAAATAACCTCCTAAAACTCCCACCTATGAAGAACTGTTTTTTTCCTCTTCCTTTTCAGAAGATCCCGTGATGTAAATTCTACAGTATCTGTTGATACATGGAGATTTGCAGAACAGAACTTTTTTAAAAAAGATTTTATTTATTTATTTGACAGAGAGCGAGAGAGCACAAGCAGGGAGCAGCAGAGAGAGAGGGAGAAGCAGGCTCCCTGCTGAGCAGGGAGGCCAATGCGGGGCTCGATCCCAGGACCCCGGGATCATGACCTGAGCAGAAGGCAGCTGCTTAACGACTGAGCCACCCAGTCGCCCCAATTTTCTATATATACATTAAGAGAGGTTGTGTTTTAGATTCCTGTGGGACAGAGCCATCCTGTATTCCACTTGATTTTCTTAGAAGAAATAATTATAGTTTAACAATTGGGACACTTCTCTAGAAAAAGCTCTGAGTTTCTCTCTCTCACATTTTTAAAGCACTAATGTATGGACACTTTACTGTTTTCCCATAAGAAAAATTAAATACCCTTACAAATGGGCCCTTCCAACATGTAATTTTATATTAAAGCCAGTATGTTTATACATTTAAAGAAGAAAATAATCATTTTAACATTTCTTTTTTTTTTTAATTACCTAAGATCTTTGTTGTGGGAAAACCATGTTAAAATGATCTGAACTTTTCAAAGGAGGTAACTTAAAAAAAAAAAACTTCTTTTGTTTGATTTGCAACGTTATTCTAGTCTCTATTCATTGATTGAGGTATTCTTTGTTGCCACGACAAGAGTTTGCAAAGTTGCTATTTATTCACACATAGATGAGAAAAGATTGCCACTGGGTGGTGCCAAATATCATTATAGCATGCTAAACTTGACCTAAAAGGAAGAGATTGTCTGTGAGCTTCCTAAGTATTCTAAGCACTGTAATATTCTTCTCTGGGTATTTAACAGAAAGTAGAGGTAATGGAGACTAGGCCAAGAACCATGGTTTGAATAGTAGCTCTTCAAATGAATACATAGCAGGATAGTTGGGGTGGTGCTTCTTAGCCTTTTTTATTGTTAGGCACATTTTGTAAATTTGAATTGTGGTCCTCCAAGCAAAAACTGTCTATAAGAACCTCTTAACCTTTTGTTAGGATGAATTTCCAGGCAGACATAGGGCTTTTTTTTTTTTCTTTTCCATGGACTCCTTTGAATATCATGGGCTGTTTGGGGCATTGATTGTGAAAATGTGCACTGGAATACTGTGAGTCTAATGGAAGAGCTGAATCCAGAATAGGAAGAGCTCTTGGGATATATTAAGCCAAGCAGGGTACAAACTTGACTAGGAGAAAAAGAATAGCTACACCTCTTACCACCAGTGTTATATAATGGGGTTCAGAAAGAGCAAGTCAGTTGTAATTATGCAATACAAATTATACTTCTTTTCATTTATAGTAAATTTATAATTTGTTAAATTTTGTGTGAATTCTAAAATGTGTTTTGGGATGCTGCGTGGCTCAGTTGGTTAAGCATCTGCCTTCATCTCAGGTCATGATCCCAGGACCCTAGGATTGAGTCCCGCATAGGGCTCCTTGCTCAGTGGGAGCCAGCTTCTCCCTCTGCTTGCCAGTCCCCCTGCTTGTGCGATCTCTCTCTCTCTGACAAATAAATAAAATCTTAAAAAAAAAAAAAGTTTGTATTTTTAAACATGCCAAAATGAAGATACTGAGTAGAAGGAAAATGAGTATGTTGCCCTTTGTATGTGAAGTTGGCATTCTTGACTTACCAGCAACACACACTTTATTTTTGTTTATTTACTGAGATGGTTGCACCAGGCTCTCACCAGACTCTAATACTAGAGTCGGGTATGTGTCTTGGGCTAGGAAACACGTCTTTCCCCTTTGGAAAGCAATTCCCCCACCCTATAACATACCCACTCATCTTCACTTCTGTGTCTTATTCTCCTATCTGGGCTGTCTTTCCCATTTCCCAAAACATGAATAGCACATTGACTGCCCAAGGAGTTAGGGGCATAATGAGAATGAACTGTGGGTGTTTAGCTGAGGATTTATGCCTCTCAGCTCTTGCCCTTATTGCCAAAGTGAATATAGGCCTAGTGTTGCAGTTTTCATGATACTCCAAAATTGGGATTTTCATATGAAATCTCCCGAGTTTGGGGGAGGGGGAACACCCCACTATGGGTCATCACAGTGGAGTACAAACAAATTGTGGGTGGGCTGAATCAAAGCTGGTCAGAAAGCTCTGCTTTAAAGCACAGCTCAAGTCACATTTTCTCAAACCTTCCCTAACCATTCCAGCCTTCAGTGGTCTTTAAACTATGCCTCCTTATGGGGCACGTGGGTGGCTCAGTTGATTAGGCGACTGCCTTTGGCTTGGGTCGTGATCCTGGGGTCCTGGGATCGAGCCCCAGATCGGGCTCCTGGCTCGGCGGGGAGCCTGCTTCTCCCTCTCTCTGCCTGCTATTCCACCTGCTTGTGCTCTCTCTCTGTCAAATTTAAAAAAAAATCTTTAAAAAATAAACTATGCCTCCTTAGTTAACTTTAAAGCTTTGCAGCCTTAATTTTATAATTGTTCCGTGTTCGCAACCTTGTCCCTCTGAATTAGAAGGAGCGGTCCCAGGTGGCATATAATAATAGATGGTCAGTCACTACCTAAGGTTCCTGGGCTAAGTAAGCATCTTGGAGCTACATCAAATTCAGGCAGAGCCTGCAGGTCAGCTCCTTGAGCAGATCTACAAGAGTGTAGGATCCCAAGTCACAAGTCTCAATCTCTAGCCTTCAGTCTGCTGTCTGACCATGGACCTACTTCCTCATCCATGTATTAGTAGTGCTAGTGATTCCTTAATTCCTTTCCAATTCTAAGTTTCTGTGATCCTGCATTACTGTATTTTAAACAACTGAGCTGAGAACAAGAAGGTTTCTGTTACTGAAACTGTTTTTGATTGTTTAGCCTAAAGGGTCCATATCACACCATCAGCATGTTCCCATTCACTCCAATTAGATGGCCTTTGTCATGAGTATGGCAGTGTGTCCCATGATGGCAGTGGCTTTTCAGGAAAGTCATCGTGACATGGTGACCTTTTCTCCCTGGTGCCTCTCCCTCCAAGCGGTATAAGTGGTTTTGTATCCCTACAGCCACTCTTGCCGATTCTCTTTCCACCTTGCTATTACCACTTGGGCTTTGGAAGTAAATGTTCAAAAAGGGTGGGAAAAGAACAATTTATACCCTCCTCAAAGTGGGGCATGTGCACCCAGTGAACTAGGGTTCTGCCCCCCTCCCCACTTCTGAAGTCTGAGCTTCAGAAGGCTTGAGGATTTACAGATTGAGAATTTTGTTTCTTCATCTAAGAAACCAGAAAACCGGAAAGGATGTCCTCCAAAAGCTCCTTCCAGAGCAAACATCCACAGAATTTAGTGACTATAGTACTTTATCAATGTTGTTTCCCATCTAATGTACTATGAATAGCTCTTATTTTGTTACCTATGAAATGAATAATGTCAAATTCTGGACAAAGAAGAAAGTACTCTTAGAAAAAAGGCCAGCATATTTATTTTTGTCATAAACGCATATCCAGGATTTATCTGTACAAACTACTTCCCCAAGTGCTTTCAGTATGTTGTCCATTTGTCCTTCCAGTATTTCTTTTTTGTCCTTCCAGTATTTCTATATGTGGTGCATTTATCCTTCATTTTACAAATATGGAAATTAGTAACACCGAAAACTACCTGGCTGTTAAGGGGAAGATTTGGGACTCTGTTTATTGTCTTCATACAACATCCTTTAATATATAACAAATCACATCTATGTTCTGTTGTTCTTTTGATCCACCTGTGAGGTTAGTATAGCAGCTATTCGTTTTGTATATAAGGAAACACTTCATGTTTGGGTGATATTTGTAAGATACAACCCAAAAGAAGATGACTGACGGATTGTGCCATTTTCTTTGACACTTACTCTAAAAGTTCAAAAGCTAATGTTATTTAGCAGAAACTTTTTTTTTTTTTTAGGATTTATTTATTTGAGGTGGGGGAGGAGCAGAGGGGTAGGGAAAGGGACCAGCAGACTGCGCTGAGCGTGGAGCCTGACATGGGGCTCAGTCTCATGAGCCTGAGATCGTGACCTGAGCTGAAACCAAGGGTTGGATGCTTAACTGACTGAGCCACCCAGGCACCCCAAAAACATTTGAACTGTAGGAACAGGTTCATAGGACAAGACAGTAAAGAAGAGTAGATTTCTATTGTTTCTTCCCACTGCCAAATAAATATACAACTATGTGTGTGGTTGGTTGGTTTGTAAGTAGACTCCATGCTGGGCGTGGAGCCCAATGCAGGGCTTGAACTCACAACCTGAGAACAAGACCTGAGCTAAGATCAAGAGTCGGGTGCTTAACTGACTGAGCCACCCAGGTGCCCCAATGTGTGTGGGGTTTTTTGTTTTTTGTTTTTTAAGATTTTATTTATTTGACAGAGACACAGGGAACACAAGCAAGGGGAGTGAGAGAGGGAGAAGCAGGCTTCCCACTGAGCAAGGAGCCTGATGTGGGGCTCGATCCCAACCTGAGCCGAAGGCAGATGCTTAACAACTGAGCCACTCAGGCATCCCAACGTGTGCGTTTTTTAAACTGCTTCCAAGTATAAACGTTGAGGATGTTAGAGTCGAATTCCAATGCTGACCCTGTCATTCATGAACTGTATGACTTTAGGAAATTTCCTCAGCCTCTTTGAGGCTTAGTCTCCTCAGCTCTGAAATGGGGAGGATGACTACTGTCAGACCAGGTTGCTGTGCGATGCTCTGGTATTGCTAGGGTAGTGAAGAACCTTATTTTGTAAATGAAGAAAAAGTCATTTTGGAATTATACTTGGAGCTGTGGCATTTAAACGACTGTGCTAACATTATTTGGAGGACTTGGGGTGTGTAGCGGTTGATAGCACAAACTGGCGCCAGATCACTGGGGGTCAAGTCCTGGTTCTGCCATTTACTAACTGTCCACTTTGGACACGTTGCTTTGCCACTCTGTGCCTTAGTTTCTTCATTTTAGGTGATGATGATAGTACTTGTAGGGTTGTTGAGAGGATTAAATAAATGTATACACATAAAGCTCTTAGGACGGTACCTGACACATAGTAAATCCTCTACAAGTGAGGGCTAGTATTACTTTGACAAGCATAAATGCTAACAGCTCCCTTCCTCTTTCTCCTTACTTAAAAAAAAAAAAAATGTCCACAGTGTTCATTCAGTTAGGGGCTGCGGCCAGCCCAGAGACAACCCTGGCGGCCGGTGCAGAATATGCTAAGGTCTGCGTTTATGAAGAAGGGCAAAAAAGCCACTTCTTTCTGCTTCTTCCTTCTTCTGTTTTCTCTTTAGACTTCTTTTCCTTTCCTGCTTCTCCGCTCCACGTTTTTCCTGTTTAATCTAGCTTCCTTTCTTCCATATGTGAGTTGAGCATCCATCTTCAAAAGCTGTGCCCATCTCTTGATGCCAAACCAGTTGCCCTTCTAAGGAGCTCCCTCCCATTTGTCCCTTCCTGATCCCCTTGTAGCTCACGGTATTACACATTCAAGGGTGTAATGAGAAGAAAGATGAACAAGTTATTGGGCAACTTTGTTTCTGCCTTTATCTTTGTTCCCCTGACCCCTTCAGAGCCCTCTCAGGACCAGTGGAGCCCCCCATCACCCACCAGCTAAGTTCACATAACACCAGTTCCTACCTTTGACTTTTTACCCTGTTTTTTTTTTTTTTTTTTAAGATTTTATTTATTTATTTGAGACAGAGAGAATGAGAGACAGAGAGCATGAGAGAGGGAGGAGGGTCAGAGGGTGAAGCAGACTCCCTGCAGAGCAGGGAGCCCGATGCGGGACTCGATCCCGGGACTCCAGGATCATGACCTGAGCCGAAGGCAGTCGCTTAACCAACTGAGCCACCCAGGCGCCCTACCCTGATTGTTTTTATAACAACTTCAGTGAGATATAATTCACATACTATACAATTCACCCATTGAAAATGTACAATTCAATGGTTTTTAGTGTATTTTCACAGTTGTGCAACCATCATCATAATCAATTTTAGAACATTTTTGCCGCCAGAAGAAACCCACTACCATTTTAAGCCCTCACCCCACCCCACCCCCAGCTCTAGGCAATCACTAATCTACTTTCTGTTCTTTAGATCAGTCTATTCTGTTGCCCAGATTCTTACCCGCCAACCCTGTCCCTTTTCAAAATAACTGGAAATTCACCTTTCAGAAGCTATTTGGACTCATCCCACCTGCTTGATCCCAGCTTTACTGGGTTCCCTCAAGTCCAAAGAAATACTTAGACGATGTTCTAAATATTTGGGTACATTGCTGCACAAAGCTCCTTAAGTCATTGTATGAAGTCACATCTCCTCTTTTAAGTTGTTCCTGAAGCAAGGGAGCTGGCTTCTGGTTATAATACATACCTTATTTGAACCTTCTATCTTTAGTGGTGTGTTTCAGTGACACTTAACCCAGGTCTTCCTGGATTCCAAAGCTCCTGGCGCCATGCTCCTTAGGAAGAGATCCTTAATGTCATGTTTTCATATCCAAATTCCATATTCCTTATTTCTATCTATAGCACCCTTGGCCGCCCACTCCCCAGACTGCAGCTGTCTTGGATTTCTCTTAGACTTCCATTCCCTGCACTCATTCCTTAGTTATATTGATCAACGCCCTTTGCCCTTCTTTGTGTCTCTTAATTGGATGTCCTTTCCATTCGAGGCATAGCTCAAAATCATCTTTTCTCTTTCTTTTTAAATCAGCAGATGTTATTTTTATGTTGGGATGAATGACGATTTTTGTTATCTATATTCATTTTCGTGTAAAAACAAAATAAATGTGACACTCTCCCCACCCGAATTATTTGTCTGAATTCCATCTAGAGATCTGTGTGCTTGGAGGAGGCTGCAAATGGTAGATATTAAGATAGCTGTTGGGTGAACAAATGGATATGCTTCCAGCACTTGGTACTTTCTACCTCACTCACATCATTTTTGGCGGTTTGTCCGTCTCCCCACCCGAAATGTAAAGTTCTTCCGCTCATTTCATTTCATTCCTCCGCCTTGCACGTGACAGAGGTTCCCCAAGTCATTTTAAATGGCTAACCTTTCCATATGTACGTAAATGTAGGAGCCAGGGGCCCTGCTTCCAGTTTCCTTCTGGAAACTTCCCCAATTCTGGTCTTGGCCAAGTCTTTTCATTCTAAGGCTGTTTCTTCATCTGCCATAATAGCACCTACCTCACAGGGCTGGCATGTTAAAACGTTTGTTGCTCAGTGTTTCTCTTAAAGAGTTATGACCCCCTAAAAAGGGGCGGGGGGGAAGGAAGAGCGGCAAAGAAAACAAGAGAAAGGGCAGTCACGCCGGATAAACTTGAGCACCGCAGCGAGGTCCGGGCTGAGTCTGACCCGCAGGAAGTTCCGGAGTGGCAGGAGTTCTGGCCAATAGCGGGTCCTGGCTCCGCCCCAGGTGTCTTTGCCCGGCTCCTATTGGCTTGAGTGCGGACGCCCGGAGCGCCTAAGGCTCTCATTGGCCGCCGGGGCCCGCCTCTCCAAGCAGCCTGGCTGGCGGGGCGCCGCGGGCTCAGTGGTGTCCGGGTGTCCGCTGTTCGGGTGTGAGGGTCGGGGACTCGGAGGCAGTGAAGCGCTGTGTCGCAGACACGGCAGTATGGTAGCCGGAAGTCGGGATAAAATAGACTAGCTGTCCCTGGCCTGGCCACGATTTGGGGTGTCCCATCGCATGGGCTCAAATCCCTGCCTGGGGTCAGTCATTCAACTTCCCAAGCCTGTTTCCTCCTTCTGTGACGGGGAAACTGAAGCACTCCATAAAATCTGCTGCTTGTTCCTTTTTCTGCCTACACCTCCACTTTACACATGCCTCATCATGCAAATAGCGTACGTCCTCCTTGTAAGGGGCAGGAATTAATGATTTCTTTGGAATAGATAACATCTAAGGAAGGAACAGGGGAGAAGGACCCCGCGGAAGCTCTCAGATGCGCGTTCCAGACCGCGGGCGCTACACAGCTCGGGGCCAAGAGCCCTGGCTCTAAGGAATAACACCTGGACCCTCGTCTTTGTTCCAGGGTGCCCGGATGCCTGCGAGGACCCGACACCAGACCACAGTCCTCAATTAAAAAACCCCCAGACCCCAAGCAAGGGGCTCTCTCCTCGCCTGAGTCTCCCAGGCACTCTATACCTGCGCTCTCTATAGCTTCAATAAACTCTTTCACCTGCTGCTGGCTCGAGTTTGATTTCTAGATGGCGCGCCGCCAGGGACCCACGTGGCTGGTTCCCCAGGACCCCCTGTGGGTCCTCACCAGGAGGCAGGCATCACTTCCAGTTGAAAATGGGGCCGGAGTGAATGCCTACCTCAGAGGACTGGGATCCAGTAGACACTCAGCAAATGTGGGCTCTTTTAATTGGGCACCCACTTTGCGGGCAGACTTTTCCGTCCCCCCCCCCGAATCTAGCCTTGGGGTGTCTGGTAGGTCGCGGGCCTCTCTCGGGGTCGAGCCGTGGTCTGCTTTCCAGGAAAAGTAGTTGTGGGAGAAAACAGGACTGAAAAGGAAAAGGGAGGTTCCTATTACCCACTGTTGTAGACTTCCCTTGTAGAAAAGAAGATAGAAAGCCACGCGGGGTCACGCACCTGAGCTCAAATCAATGTCGCGGATGGTTATGGGGGGGATAATACTGGAGCTTCTAGTGCCAATACTTACAGGCGCCGCTTTGCACTGTTGTGTTCCTCATGGATTTTTTTTCCTCCAGGGATAAAGTTTTAAGTCAACTCAAATACCCAACAAAAGCACAGTATCTATTTCTATTTTATTTCAGCATTTAATCTTTTTGAAATTTGCAAAAAAAGTGCCACTTCGCTATTGGATGAAAACTTTTTTTTTTTGTAGGAAACTAAGCCAGGGAGTGTCTGTGTATACAAGACTGCCGAAGGGGTATACCTATCCTGTTTGAATTGCAAGCACAACCTTAGAGGTGGGCATGAGGATGGTACTCTACTCAAAAGTTGATTTAAAAAAAAAAAAGTTTTTTAATGGCAATACTTGAAGGAAGAAATTTACTTTTCTTTCCAAATTTGTCCTCAGCCTTCTTTAAATAACACATCTTAGTATGGAGTCCTACCTCTCCAGTATGACATTTAACTTGAATAAAAAATGATTTAATTCAATTCATTGATGGAATTCTGTGTAGCAATTAAGTTCCATAGTGCTTAGAGTGTGTCCTGGTTCCTTCTTCAAAAACAAAGAGAACAGGGACGCCTGGGTGGCTCAGTCGTTAAGCGCCTGCCTTCGGCTCAGGTCATGATCCCAGGGTCCTGGGATCGAGCCCCACATCGGGCTCCCTGCTCAGCCAGAAGCCTGCTTCTCCCTCTCCCACTCTCCCTGCTTGTGTTCCTACTCTCTCTCTCTCTCTGTCAAATAAATAAAATCCTAAAAAACCAAAGAGAACATTAAAGCTTGTAAAATTTCAGGATATAGTATTTCAGCCACCTATTCCTAATGCAGGTCTTATCAATCTGAAGTTCTGTGTGAATTCCCAGGATGCAAGACCCATAATCAGTGCATCCCAAAGTAAAAATGGACTAGTTTAAGACTACCCAATAATTTAGTGTCATTATTTATCCTAATAAAAAATTTAAATAAGGGAACATATACAGTATCTTGACATTTCACAAAAATAAGTATGTTCCTAAGGTTGAGAACCAGTAAACTGGAAGGTCAAACGGTCTGAATGCCCCTCATAGCATCTGTATGAGGACAGAGGGAAACCTTGAAGAGGGGACCTGTTTTGCACAAAAGACCCTGGGAAGGTTTTTCCAGGCCCCATCTGCCGAAGATTGTGATTTGCCTAGGCATCTGTATTTTTATTTTCTATTTCTTAAAGATTTTATTGATTTGAGAGAGAGACAGAGACAGAGCATGGCATGAGGAGGGGGGAGGGGCAGAGGGAGAAGGAGAAGCAGAGAAGGGAGTCTGCCGAGGAGGGACTCGTTTCAGGAGCTAGCTGCCCAACCAACTGAGCCACCCAGGCGCCCCAAGGCATCTGTATTTTTTTTTTTTTAAAGATTTTATTTATTTATTTGACAGAGAGACACACAGAGAGAGGGAACACAAGCAGGGGGAGTGGGAGAGGGAGAAGCAGACTTCCCGCTGAGCAGGGAGCCTGATGCGGGGCTCGATTCCAGGACCCCGGGATCATGACCGGAGCCGAAGGCAGACGCTTAACGACTGAGCCACCCAGGCGTCCCGGCATCTGTATTTTTAAAAGCTCCACAAGTGATTCTAATGCGCAGCCAAGGCCAAGAACTATGGTCTAGGCAGAAATGTTCCATTTTCCTCTGAATAAAAATAAGTTACTCTTTAATAAAGAAACTAAACAGTTGTAAATAATATCAACAAGGAATTAAAAGATTTTCCCAGTGGGAAAATCAAGAAACTATATAAGGAATTCACGTATCTAGAAATCAGAAAGAGCAAAGCAAAGTATAATAAATTCTTAGATGTATTTTATGTTGTATTCCATTTAATAATGTTTGTAAATAATCTAATCAAGACCAAAGGTAGAGGTGACTGGCATTACGTTGGTCACTGGTTTCCAATCTAAAGGTGGTAAGTTTCCAATGGCTTTTGAAACGGGTGTGAAAAAAAAAAAAACAACAACAAAAGATGGAGAAAGGTGTTTATCATGCTATTTCAGTACATAAAAGCCTTGAAAAGTTAAGAGGCCCTTGGCTTCTCTGGTGTGTGGCTTATTGTTTATTAACATATTTGACCTATTGTTGGCATTGAATACAAATTCTGTAGGGAAAAGACTAACATGTTCGAAGATGAAATTTATAGGTCCTCTGTGGATTTCATTTTTCTGGTCTATTCATGGCTCCATTAGCATGAATAGTTAAGAAACTCCTATATCAAAATAAAACATCAATTATACTTCACAATATATAAAGCCACTGGCTAAATAGTGCTGTTTCTGTGATAACCTGTATTTTACCATTAAAACTCTTATAACTAAAGTCACATCCTTTACATAATATTTATTCTGTATAGGATTTATCCACATACAATGACGTCAACTTTAAGACAATTGACTATTATTTGTATAAAGGCATCTTATAAAATAGGGTAATACACAACACGCCTCAGTGAATTAAGCTGATATTCTAGGGTTCAGAAAATCTGATCATTCTAATTCCTGTTTTTGCCATTGTTTCACTGGGTTGCCTCAGGGAGGTTGCTTTACTGTTCTGTGCCTCAATTTCTTTACCTTTCATGTGAGATAACTGTCCTATTTCATAGATATGTAAAGAATAACATAAAAATTATTAAATACTTTGCAAATATAAAATGCTATATAAATGATAAATAGTAATACTGATCCACTCTAATATAAAATAACATTTATAATCTAAAGTTTGGTCCTCCAGTACCTATCATCACCCCTCCCAGTTAAATACATCTTACACTATATTGCTTTTAGTGATTTTCCATAGTATTAAATTTCCACAGTATTAATTAATTTAGGATATATATATATATACACACACACACATATATATCCAATATGAGTGGAAATTTCAATGTATCTTAACATGACTTTGCAAAATAATGAATTCAGTTCTGAGCTCTTAAGTAATTGACACACCAAACTTTCTTCACCCATTAAGCAGTAACTTCATAGCATAAGAGCAGTTACTATGTTTGTTTTGATTCTATTACTCAAAAATACACTGTTGAAAAATGTTTTTCAGAAGTCTTGAGACATGATAACTATAGACGGAACATTCTATAGACTAAGGATGTGATCTGCTGCTCTAGAAGACCCTCTGATTACCAGCTTGTAAGCACAGTGAGTAATAGAGGTAATGAAGTGAGACCCCAATGCTCAAAGGGAATTCAAAAACCTCTCCTGTTCCAAGGTTTTCAGTGCTGCCCTCCCGAGTTCTGCAGAGGTGTCTGGTGAAAGCTAGTAGGAGGCTATAACAAGAGCAGCTCTGATTTTAGAGTTTCTCCCTTAAATGGTGAGATTCTCTATGAAAGGGTTTGAAGAAAGGGCTTCTTGGGTGGAAAAAAAAAATCTCTTAAACCACTGATCCAGGCCATTTTGCTTCCTCCAGCCACTAGGCATGACTGCAATGTTGCTTTATTTTGCAAAACTTCTTCCCATCACCACACACTCTTGAGGACCAGAGTTAGAAGGGCGTTCAGAAGCTGATCAACAGCATTACTGTAAGAGCAAACTTTGTTCTAACCAACTCCCACTGTTTTGCTAATATTAAAAAAAAAAATCCTTGGCATAAATAAAGCTTATATTAACAGATTATACCCCTATATAACATTTTCCCACATTTAAAAGCCAAAGAATTTTGTTTTCTCAGAAACCATTGATTTGACAGTCTCACCCTAGGAAAGAATCGGTCTCTAGTCTTAGATACATATGATATGATAACTGGAGTTATTATTTACAACTTACAAACGTCACAGATGTTCTTCTTTTATGATACTAAAATGGTAGAACAGATACACTGTCTAGTTTGACGAACTTGATGGCGGTTTTGTGGCGAGAGCTTGATGCTTGTTATAAACAATGAGAAAGCATTATTTCAGATAAGGCTGTCTAGGTGCTGGTGGCAGGGTGTTCCGTGGACTTTGCTGACGTTCATGCTGATGTTTGCATGCAGAAGCGTTAAGAGAACAGTTAGATCACAGACTAAAGTGCGTTAGAGCATACACATGCACTACTTCATTCTCATGAGTAAAGCTCCAATCACTCATTTTTCCTATTGGCTCCAAGGACTAAAAATCAGATAATAATCTTAAAAGATGTTACCATCTGGTGAGACTAAAGAATGACAAAGTGTTCCCTCCCTCCTTTGGATACAACTTAATTGTTAAGACTCCTGATTCAGGAACAGTCATGCTGGGAGAACAGTGAACTCGGTGCGTGCCATCCAGTCTTGAAGCTACTGGAAATTTACCATCAGGGGAATCTTGGCAAGGTCTCAGCATTAAGTACCATAAAACAAAAACAAATGGTTGTTCATTCTATTTGTAAAAAATGTTTTAGAAATTAACCATTTCAGCCCTCCAGTTGGTATCAAGGACAATCAGGAATTAAAGAATAAGAGAAAAAATAAAATGAAAAGTATCATCTTGAGGGATGTCATGACATTTAGAAATACAGTATAATACATGGAGCCTCTATCAAAATTAAATTATATCAAGCTTAACTGTAATAATTTGAAGCAATCTTCAGTAAGGTCGGTTCTTCTGGGATTCGGATTTTATCTTCAGAACTAAAATAATGCTCCTCTGATTGAACTTTACTTTTAGAATGTTTCATAATTCATATAGGGGAGGAGTTTATTTTATTAAAAAAAATTTTTTTTTAAGTAACCTCTACACCCAACTTGGGCTCAAACTTACAACCCCCAACTTGGGCTCAAACTTACAACTCCCAAGATCAAGAGTCGCAGTCAGGCACCCCTTACAGGGGAGGAGTTTAAACACATCTTTATATCCTAGGAGAAAAGTTTGTTTTGAAAAATGATATAAACAAGATAAGAAAAATGCTTAAAGCATGTAGGAAATAACTTGTTCAAAGAGTGTTATACATAACATTTACATATAAATAACCTGACATTAAAAACAGTCAGTAGACACTGGAGGGACATCACTGAGCACTCTTGGGTAACTCTAGTCCAAGTTATTATGTGTTGTTGAAGCTTATTAAGTTCTCCTTTTATACTTTCTAATTTGAATAGGCTTTTTTTCTAATTACTGCAGATTGGTGAGGTTTGACTTCAATTCTTTGCCATTTCAGGAGACAATACGGGGACAGTTGAAAGAGGGCTGTTTAAAATCAAGACCTGTCCATCACCAGTCCCGCCACTTAAGCTTTCTGATTAATTTCCTCACTTGTAAATTAGAGACAATAATATCTACCTTGCTGACTAAGTGAGAAAATGTGTGAGAGAGCACTTTAGAAATAATATAGCAGAACAATAAATGTTAGAAATTACTCTTGAGAACTGGTAACCTCCAATTTTCTTGTTCATCATTTTTTGGTTCTTTGTTTTCCTTTAGAGAGGAAGAGAATTATATTGACAGATCTTCACAAACTACCTTGACTTTTAGGCAGTATTTGTTTCCTGCTTTAGAAGATGATGTCTGTATGTAATCTCTGGTCTGCCTCTATTTTAGGTTTTGTTTTGTTTTGTTTTAAACAATACTGACTACATAAGAGTCATCTTTACCTTAATGACAAAAAATTCAAATATGAACAGTTTCACACATTTTAGATTTGTCTGCCATAATCCTAAAACAATATCTAGGATATTGGGATACTGAAAGGTTGTTTTAGATCTGAAATTGATAGAAAGACTTATAATTCAGTCAGATAAGGGTGCCAGACCCTTAAATGTGCTCTTACCTGGTTCCTTGTGAAAATTCAATATTCGTAGTTTGTGTTTTTGAAACACCTTGAAATTATCTTACTATAAAGTCTGGTTGTGGTAAATTTATTTAAAATATTTTCTTTGAGAAAAGTTTGCTAAGTAGATCTTTCAATATTAAAAGAAAAAAGGTATCTCTGTAATAAAAGGAAGAGGATTAATTGTTCATCCATCATGCCAACTCAAGCTAGGTCTTTCTTTCCAGTGCAGCAACGTATTTTAGGGCAACAAAGTTCAGAATGGATACCATGACCTGTTCGGAAAGCATGCAAGTTATATTAGGTCATCACTTTTAAGTCAGTCTGATACCTTTGTGAGCCAGACTCTGACCATGGAAAGAGAGAGATACAGGAAGTCAGCGTAAGTTGCAGACATGCCAGCTCTGTTGGTTCACATGTTAGCTACCTAATGTTGGGCTTTATCTCCTTCTCTTCTTCTTCTTCACTATCATCAACCTGTTGTATGACCAGATCAGCAGACCCATCCTCTACAATCTCCACGTATGATCTATTCTCATCTTCACTCAAGTGCCATCTGGAATCTTTATCTCCATCTGATGGGGACATAAGATGCTGTTCAGCTTCCAAATCAATGGGGAGGCTGTCTATGCCCACTTCAGCGAGGCACTCATTACAGAGTCTGTAGCGCCTGGTTCCTTCCTGGACCACTTGCCCTGTTAGATCAGTCACGTGGCGTTTGCATTTTCTGCAGATTAATTTGCATGCCTGGTGAATCTGTATAGAGATTGAAATAGTGATAAAAAAGGATTTTTCAAAAGCAGCACAGTTGGATATCTAGGTACCAGTTCATAAACTTAAGATGTCCAAAGCCAAGCACTAATATTAAATTAACATCTAATTATCAGAAAAAGATCACAGGTTTTGGTGATAAATTGACATCACAAATAAACACCACCTTTCTCTAAATGATGGCTATACCGTTTTTATGATTAATAACACATTCTTAATAATTTCACACATCCCTTAATCCAACAGTATTTTGATATCTGAGGTGACAAGGGACACCTTCCCAGAATAATAATCATTGCAAACACTAAATATATCACTATTCTAAGGACTTTTTATACCTTAATTCTGGCAAGGGAGAAACCTCATTTCATGTGTTAATTTACTGTTATCAGCTAGAGAAAAATATATTGTCCCAAATTTAAATTTATCAAAACATATTTTTGGATAGAAGGATTATTTGCCACTTCTATTAATGAAAGATCCTGCAGAAAGAGGACTAGACTAGGAACAGGAAGGCTTGGGTTCTAGCCCTGTTTTGTCATTTACTAGCCATGTACCTTGAAACAAGTAATTGAAAACAATATAAACCTGCTTCCAGGGTGATAGGCAAAGTATTTAACAACTCATAAGGTATATAGGCACCACCCAAACAGAATGGAAGCCTGACAATCAAAATGAACACTGGTCCTAACAACGCCCGTGGTGGTTCTGCTATATATCAGCCTATAATTATCTCTGCCTGCTTCCATCTTACTAATGAGAATACAATTCAGGTTGTGAGGACCAAATGAGTTAATATGTGTGAAGTGCTTTAGGAAAAAATTGTAACTGATAAATAATTACATAATTATAGTTACTAATAAACAACTTTAACAGCTGTCAGAGCAGATTATGGGTTCTACTCTAAAAACCATTACAATTTTATAATGTTGAATTAATATTTATGGCATATTCATTTAGAACAATATGGAAGTAGGCCACCAAACACAAATAGCAAAAAAAAATAAAAATAAAAAAACAACCAAGGAAACTAATGCAGTCTGGTAAAATATCTAAAAGAAAATGTATGGGACTACAACTCAGTATAGTTATTATTTTCTGCTGAACCGTTGACATATTAATCAGTAAATATTGAAAGTACACAATTTTAGTGTACCCTTATTGCTGCCGAGATAGAAATGTTATGGGTATCATATGTGGTATTGTTTTTGTTAGAAAGTTCTGGCACAGATTTGTGTTTATCCCCCAGCCCCTCGATTCCAATACAGTTACTAAGTCAAAGAAATTAAGTGAAACACTATAATGTTAAAATTGAAAATATCATCACAAACTCATTATTTAAAAAACACATATCTTCTAGCTCTGTCCACTGAAATAATGTAAGAGGAATGACCCCCTAGTAAAAGGGAACACCCCAGGTAACCAAAGTTTGGTTTCTAATTTTTTTTTTTTTAAGATTTTATTTATTTATTCTACAGAGAGAGAGACAGCAAGAGCAGGAACACAAGCAGAGGCAGAGAGAGAGGGACAAGCGGGCTCCCTGCTGAACAGAGAGCCTGATGTGGGGCTCGATCCCAGGACCCTGGGATCATGACCTGAGCTGAAGGCAGCCGCTTAACCGACTGAGCCACCCAGGCGCCCCAGTTTGGTTTCTAATTTTACTCCCCATTAAAAGGAACCAAATGTCCTTTTTTTTTTTTTTTAAAGATTTTATTTATTTATTTGAGACAGAGAGAATGAGAGACAGAGAGCATGAGAGGGAGGAGGGTCAGAGGGAGAAGCAGACTCCCTGCCAAGCAGGGAGCCCAATGCGGGACTCGATCCCGGGACTCCAGGATCATGACCTGAGCCACCCAGGCGCCCCCCAAATGTCCTTTAAGAAATGGCTGATTCCAGGTTTGTGACAGGGAAAATACAAGGTGAGCCTAGGGAAATTTGAGGGCCAGAGAATGAGGCCACCTTGAATATGTAATGGAGTTATGACAAAGGGACACAAGAACCAGCTTCAAGTTGTCCTCACTGGACAAAACTAAAAATCTGAGTATCAGAAAGAATAATAATTGTTGTAGATCCAAACACAATGAACCAATGAAAATTCATGAGACTATATGCTATTTTAAAAAAAACAAAGCCAGAAAAAATTCATATTACCATTTGAAACGGCTATTTTTTTTTTTTAAGATTTTATTTATTTTTTAGAGAGCGAGCGAGAGGGAAACAGCATGAGAAGGGAGAGGGTCAGAGGGAGAAGCAGGCTCCCCGCTGAGCTGGGAGCCCGATGTGGGACTCGATCCCAGGACCCTGGGATCATGACCTGAGCCGAAGGCAGATGCTTAACCATCTGAGCCACCCAGGCGCCCTGAAACTGCTATTAAATCAACTCTTTACTTTGAAAATTGATAATTAAAGGGAAACAATTAAATATTTATCCTGTTTCTCCTGTAGTAACTGTATTTCAAAGTAATAGTGACTGAATAGTTCCAGGTGATAGAGGAAAGTTTTACTTTATAGAATTCTAGCTAATAATGTAAAAGAAATGATAAAATTAGTAAATCATTCTATAACCCAAGTAAAATTAATAATCTGGACAGAGTTTATCAACTGATATTAATACCATTAAATGAACGGTTGATGGGGAAATGGATAGTAGCATAATGCCAACATAGCTCCACACAGATTCCTTTCTAATCACAAGGTGGCACCTTTAACTGAACAATGGCGGGATCACAGTATCATTACCCTAACTTAGTGACCAATCTTAACAATATGAATGATGGGTCCAACAGATATTATGTGTCTCCTAATGTGAAACATTATGAGATAAATAATTTCATCCTTGATGTGTTCTATAGCTGAAAGTATTTACCTCGAATCCATTAAGCCTTTATTTATTTTTAAAGATTTTATTTATTTATTTGAGAGAGAAAGAGAGTGTGTGTGAGCAGGGGGATGGGCAAAAGGAGAGGGAGAAGCAGACTCTCCACTGAGCAGGGAGCCCATCGAGGGGCTTGACGCAGGGCTCGATCCCAGCAGGACCCTGAGATCATGACCTGAGCTGAAGGCAGACACTTAACCGACTGAGCCACCAAGGCGCCCTTCCATTAATCCTTTAGATAAAACATCTAGTTTATAGAAATTGCAAGGGGACAGAGGAACAAGCTAAATGACACCAGTGAAAGCAAGCAGAGAAATCGAGAGGTAGGTTATTTTGTAAAATAATTATCTTGATATCTTCAGTAAGTCAGTGTTATGGAAATGAAAAGGGGGGCAGGGAGGACTATGCTCTCTTAAAAACATATTTAAGGGACTTAAGGAGATGTAATACAGGATCCTGCATTGGATACTGGTTTGGACAAAAAGCTATAAAAGGTATTGGGGGATTACAGGGAAATTTGAAATTGAACTGGATGTTAGATAAAATTTTATTGAGATGGAAAGGTAGAGATTGTTCACTAATGATAGCAGGCACAAACAGTACGATCTAATTTGGTTAAAAAAAACCCTACATATGCATGTGATAAAGTCTTTTTTTTTTTTTTTAAGATTTTATTTATTTATTTGACAGAGAGAGACATAGCGAGAGAGGGAACACAAGCAGGGGGAGTGGGTGAGGGAGAAGCAGGCTTCCTGCTGAGCAGGGAGCCCGATGTGGGGCTCGATCCCAGGACCCTGGGATCATGACCTAAGCTGAAGGCAGACGCTCAATGACTGAGCCACCCAGGTGCCCCGCATGTGATAAAGTCTTAAGAATGGTAGTATCTGAGAATGCCTGGGTGGCTCAGTTGGTTAAGTGTCTGCCTTCGCTTGGGTCATGATCCCAGGGTCCTGGGACCAAATCCCACATCAGGCTCCTTGCTCAGCAGGGAGCCTGCTTCTCCCTCTCCCACTCCCCCTGCTTGTGCTCTCTCTCTCTCTCTCTCTTTCTGACAAATAAATAAATAAAATCTTTAAAAAAAAAAAAGAATGGTAGTATCTGGGTGGTGAAAATAAAGTATTTTTATTTTCTTATTTTTACCTTTTATAATGCATATTCATTGCTTTTGTAATAATAAAAGGTTCTTTTTAATTACAAAACAGAAACAAAAACCTAGCTTCACAAGGATAATGAAGGCAGAGATTCCTGGCACTGAGAACACCTACAGGACACCTCGCACTGAGAAAAGGGGCGGGCACATAGGTGCTCAGTATGTATTTGCTAACTAAGTATAGAGCAATGCATGGAGAAATCCCCTTCAGTAAGCCACTGCCCTTTAAAGTGAAAAGGGGCTGATATAAATGGAATAGAAGTATTGAGTAATAGAACACAGATTTTGGAAAACATTCTTGCCTCAAGACGAACAGCAGAGTAATTCGAACGTCCCTACCTCAGCCACCCGCCAGAGCACCGAGGAGCAAATTCCCTGAGATCTTCCTGACCGCTGATGGTCCCGTCCCTGACTGGAAGAGGCTCTACTGCCCACCTTGCTCCCTTCCTTGAGGAGACTATAGATAAAGACTAGAAAGGGGGTACAGGGGCCAGAGGCCGGACAGCAGAAACCAGACCGAGATCCCACCAGAGAAGCATTCAAGAATCACTAGTAGATGCGGAGCATCTGCAGTGGTGATTCTGACCTGGAGGTTCAGATGTCTTTAGTTTCCCTTGTCTTTGGCTCTTGACAAGACCAGTACATAAAAACGTATTCGATTTTAAATGAACTAAAATGCATATTCCAAAGATAGAAAAATAATTTAAAAAATAAAATGGATATTCAAAAGAGTACCTCCTACGTAAAGGTCTCAAGGGTGAATAAAAATATATCTATATTAAATTCTGCATTATGTGCAAAGTAAAAGCATTAAGCCGGAAAAATTTCTAATATAGCCGAGTTGTTTGAAAAGATTTCCCTCAGTAAAGTAGATTATCTGACAGCAGATAAACCCACACATTTCCTAAGAAGGAAAATGATGAAAAATCAGGTACGTACTGTTCGGAAATGGCTACTGAGGTGGTCCAGCCTGCTAAATCTTTTCCCACAGGCTTGACAGGGATAGGGCCTTTCTCCCGTGTGGCAGCGAAGGTGACGCTTCAGGTCCGCCTTCCGCTTCACCACGTGTGTGCAGTATGGGCACTTGAACCGCATCCGGGGCAGATCATCTGTCAGGAGACAGTTTGATTAAATCACTGGAAAGTTCATCACAACAATTCTAATAACATGAGGAATCCCAAAGGAGTTGGTGAGTCCAATCTTGGGAAGGCAGGAGAAAAGAAGGAAGAAAGGTTATTAAGACTCAATTGTCCATGCAATCCAGAGTCCGGAACTGTAACGGCAGCACTTGGGAGATTTATAAAGTTGGGGTAAATTTAGACTCTCGCGCTTATCTTCTCATTCAGTGTTGTAGAGTTACTGGATTTGAAATGTAAAAAGGTAGTGCTGGATTTTAAAATTGGAGATACAAAAAAAAAAAAAGACAAAAACAAAAACAAAAGAACTGGAGGTACAACCCAAAAGTATTTCATATTACAGCTTTTAGTAATGTGTTTTATTTACATATTTCTTTAAAGATTTTATTTATTTATTTGACAGAGAGAGACAGAGCGAGAGAGGGAACACAAGCAGGGGGAGTGGGAGAGGGAGAAGCAGGCTTCCCACCGAGCAGGGAGCCCGACGCGGGGCTCGATCCCAGGACCCTGGGATCATGACCTGAGCCGAAGGCAGACGCTTAACGACTGAGCCACCCATGTGCCCCTTATTTACATATTTTTATCCCCTTGCCTCTACTTTTTCGTACACTTGTAATACTTTTAAAGGTGAAAAAATGTCAAGGATATTTAATTTTTTATTTTAAAACTCATGTATTCAAGGGGCGCCTGGCTGGCTCAGTCATTAGAGCATGTGACTCTTGATCTCTGGGTTGTGGATTTGAGCCATATGTTGGGTGTAGAGGCTAGTAAAAAAATATATAAACTTTAAAAAATAAATAAAACACGGGGCGCCTGGGTGGCTCAATCGGTTAGGCGTCTGCCTTCTCCTCAGGTCAAGATCCCAGGGTCCTGGGATCGAGTCCTGCTCAGCGGAGAGCCTGCTTCTCCCTCTGCCTGCCTCTCTGCCTACTAGTGCCTCTATCTCTCTGTCAAATAAATAAATAAAAAATCTTAAAAAACATAAAAAATAGACAAAATAAAACTCATGTACTCAAGATGTTAGTTACGACTGGAGGCAAACGTCATCAATTAAATAGCCATTAAACTCAGCTGTTCATTATTGAAGTTAGGTTTGCATAACCTAGAATTATCAAAGTACAGAGCCCAAAGAGAGAAAAGATCACTCTTTTGAAGTTTTAAAATGCAACAAAGATTTCTCATTTTTGTTCTGTTGTTTCTGTATGTCTTGGTCAATGATCAGAGCTCAGCAGGACTTTCAGTAAGCTCTGTAATAGGATACAATTTCATGTATTTTCAGGTTAGTACTACAGGAAAATGCAATTAGTAAAGATCTAGCTGGTTGCTTCTTATTTTAAAGTATGTTATCTACAACCAAATTATTTTTAAAAATTTATGTGACGGGGTGCCTGGCTGGCTCAGTCGTTAAGCGTCTGCCTTCGGCTCAGGTCATGATCCCAGGGTCCTGGGATCGAGCCCCACATCGGGCTCCCTGCTCAGCGGGAGGCCTGCTTCTACCTTTCCCACTCCCCCTGCTTGTGTTCCCTCTCTCGCTGTCTCTCTGTCAAATAAATAAATAAAATCTTTAAAAAACAAAAAAAAGGAACTGTTAATTTTGTTTAGGTACAATTATGGTATTGTAGTGGTTTCGTTTTTTTTTTTTTAAGACAACTTAATTTTTATTTTTTTAAGTAGGCTACATGCCCAACATTGGGCTTGAACTCACAACCCTGAGATCAAGAGTCGCATGTCCTGGTTTTGTTTTGGTATTTTCTTAGGGGAGTGGAAGGGTAGAGGGAGACAGAGGGAGAGAATCTTAAGCAGGCTCCATACCTAGCATGGAGTCGGAGGTGGGGTTCGATCTCACAACCCTGAGATAATGACCTGGGCTGAAATCAAGAGTCGGATGCTTAACTGGCTGAGCCTCCCCCCTTTTTTAAGACTACATTTTAGGGACACATTCTGAAATACTTACAGATGAAAACTTATGATGTCTGCTATTTGCTTAAAAATAATAAAGGGAGGCGTGCGGAGTTAACGATACAGATGAAACAATATTGGCGGTGAATAGGAAGTTGTCCAAACTGGGTAAGGCGTACATGGAGGTGAATTATACTATTCTCTTTCCTTTTGTGTATGTTTGAAATTTTCCTAAAATAAAAACAATTTTAAATATATAATCTGAATCTTGTACTCTGTAGGAGTTTCATCTTATAATTTCCCTTTAAATTCACATGTAAACTATTAAGCAAGTTTGCTACCTGATTAATTGGGGCAGAACTATATGACATGCATTTTTTTTTTTTTTAAGATTTTTAAAAATTTATTTACTTAGAGAGAGAGAGAGCGTGAGTGGGGGGGGCAGAGGGAGAGAGAATCTCAAGCAGACTCCATACTGAGCTCGGAGTCTGATGTAGGGCTCGATCCCACAACTGTGGATCACTACCTGAGCCAAAACTGAGTCAGCTGCTTAACGGACTGAGCCACCCAGGCACTCCTGTATGACATGCAATTCTAATTCCTGTTCTCTACTCCAGTCTTATGGAGCTGAGGGGTGGATTACTGAAACCAATAACCTACATAATCTTTCTGCATTTTACTACTATCATAAAAATGAGATGTTTCCAGCTGTTGTTGCACACACAGGATTACAGTGTCAATGTTATGGGTTGTGTGTGGTTTTTAAATTATGTCTTTATATCTCAATAAAATCAGATGTAGTCCAATGTCTTTAAGTCTTGGGTCTGTGAACTTTTGTAAATATGCATGGTTGCTCTGTTTAACTTTTCTGTATAAAAATACTCCTCCTAAAAAAAAAAATACTCCTCCTGAGTGAATACTCAGAAAAAAATATACAATTTAAAGTAAAAATATGCATCTTAGGGATTGAACCATTTAGAAAAGAGCTATAAAGGCTTAACAGTAATCTAATCATCTGCTGACACAGGTTGGGAAAATCTTGGGCTTTGAAACTCAGAACTCGGGCGCCTGGGTGGCTCAGTTGGTTAAGCGACTGTCTTTGGCTCAGGTCATGATCCTGGAGTCCCAGGATCGAGTCCCGCATCAGGCTTCCTGCTCAGCAGGGAGTCTGCTTCTCCCTCTGACCCTCCTCCCTCTCATATGCTCTCTCTCTCTCATTCTTGTTCTCTCAAATAAATAAAGAAAATCTTTAAAGAAAAAAAAAAAACCCTCAGAACTCTATTGTTTGTTTTTTTTTAATTTTTTTTTTAAAGATTTTATTTATTTATCAGAGAGAGAGAGACAGAGGCAGGCAAAGGGAGAAGCAGGCCCCTTGCTGAGCAAGGAGCCCGATGTGGGACTCGATCCCAGGACTCTGGGATCATGACCTGAGCCGAAGGCAGACGCTTAACCGACTGAGCCACCCAGGCGTCCCAGAACTCTATTGTTTTGACTGTTATTCAATTTATCCTTTTTTTTTTTTTTTTTTTAAGTAGGCTCCATGCCCAATGTGGAGCTTGAACTCATGACCTTATGTTCAAGAGTTGCGTGCTCTACCAACTGAGCCAGCCAGGCGCCCCTATCCAATATTATTTTTAATTAGAAATTAAATTTATGTTTTATGAGATAAATTTCATTAGAGGGGTATGACTTAAAAAAGAAAAATCACTTGGTTCAACTGCCCATAACACTTCAAAGTAAGGGCATGTTGAAATAGGATTGATTTGTACAAGAGACTTAGAACCTCAATAAGGGGACTGATTTTTTTTTTTTTTTTTTTTTTTTTTTGGATACCTGGAAAGCTTCTGGATGTGACATCAGATCCTGGACCATACGGATAGCCAGCAGGAGTAGAGTCCATGTCAGCATCAATTTGTGCTTGTTCTTCAGATTGGGAAATGTGGCCGGAAGAATCTGATGTTCGTGCTTCTCGTTTGCTTGACTTGTAAGGGGCAACTTCAGAAGGCTGTGACAACCTCAAATGTTTGGACTTTTTAATGGAATCTTTCCTTTGTTCATGCTTGGTCAAAGGCTGTTGAGTATTCCGTTGGGAGGCTGGATGGTAATTATACTTACTCCAAGATTTTCCACTTATTATACCTGTTCCTTGATCTGAGCTTAAATGAGAATGCGGAGAACTGCTTTCTTCTTGCCAGCCACTGCTATAAAAGGAGGAACGTTCTATACCATTAGAATTGGCATCTTTATCGGAGAGACTGAAATAGCGATCTTTTTCTTTCTCACTAATGTCTAGCGAAGATTTAATAAAGGTCTTACATACACTAATGACATCAGTCATCTGAAGGAAGCTAGCGGCTGACATCACTTCTATGACGTTCTGACCAGTGAGAGAGAGTTTGCCGGAATAGACGAAGTCCAGGATAACTGTAAAAGTGTCAGGGGAGAAGGCCTGAAATGTGGCTGTGGTTGGCTGACTTGTCTCCTTTGAATTCTGAGAAAGGAGCATTTTGAAGTAGCCGCTGCTGGCAAATAATACGTTTCGATGCGCTTTGAAGACCTTTCCTTCAACCAGAATGCTGCAATCACAAAAGACATCTTGCCTGCGCTGCTCATTCAGTTGCTGCAGGAGGTGGGACTGGTGAGAGGAGATCTCCATTCTGGAGAGGAAAAGACACGTGGTTACCAAACCGAAGTGACACGCCTTGGCCCAGTCAACCGAAATAACCATCAGAAACTGCTTTCTTATTTCCACTGAAACCACTTTCTTCTTAGAGAATATAAGTCTCCAAGACACAGAGAATCACTTAGTACTGTACTATTAGTTATGTGATTTTGGGCCAATTATTTGTTCAGTCACCAACCTTTACTGAGCATCTTCTATGAATCAGGCCTTCTGCTACGTGCCCTCCTTGATACCCATCACCCATCTAGCCATCCCCCACCCACCTCCCTCCGGCAACCCTCAGTTTGTTCTCTATCATTAAGAGTCCCTTATGGCTTGTCTCCCTCTCTCCTTTTGTTCTTTTCCCCCTTAAAATATAACCAAACGTTTTAAATGTATGGCTGGGCTTGCAAGAAAGTGAGAAATCCCTAGATGCCAGCAGTGGGGAAGGCGCGGAGCTGGAGCAGTAATACGGCTTCAGGTTTTTATCCGTAACAAGCTGGAAGCCTCTAAGGACCACAACCTTAATGAAGAAAGACTAGTAAACTTTGCCCATAAATCCCGGGAAAAAAACAAGTTTGTCTTTGCGGGGCTTTCGTTGGGGAAAGAAAAACAAAAGTACCCAGGTGAGATATCAAACCCAAGGTTGTGCTTTTTGAGGTTCTGGAATCCAAATTTATTTTACCCGTTTGATGTGAGAAACCTCAAGGTGAAAATTTAACAAGGAAATTAGTCCTGGGCTGGTGGGGCCCATGGGGCACCCGGCAGAAACAAATGCGAAACTGCTTAGGAGGGGTGTTCTCAGGACCCAAGCCAGGTGGGAAATAATCTCTGCTTATGCTGAACTCAAAATCATTCCCCCTTTTTTTTTTTTTTAAAGATTTTATTTATTTATTTGAGAGAGAGAGAGCACATGAGAGGGGGCATGGTCAGAGGGAGAAGCAGACTCCCTGCCGAGCAGGGAGCCCAATGTGGGACTTGATCTAGGGACTCCATGATCATGACCTGAGCCGAAGGCAGTCGCTCAACCAACTGAGCCACCCAGGCGCCCTCCCCTCTTTATATAAAGTGCATCATTTCCAATATTGTACCATCATGATGTCTATTACCTCCTATCTTACAAACAAGCAAACAAAACCTCCCTTGCTTTCACATCCACCTCTGGCTACAACTCATTTCTTTTTTGTATATATATTTTTTATTTTATTCTAAGTAAACTCTACACCACATGTGGGGCTCGAACTCAACGACCCTGTGATCAAAAGTCGCATGCTCCACTGACTGAGCCAGCGGGTGCCCCAGGTTACTACTCATTTCTCTGCTTCCTTCACACAAAATTCATTGAAAGAGGTTTTTTTAAAAAATATTTTATTTATTTCTTTATTTGAGGAGGGAGGGGCAGAGGGAGAGGGAGAGAGAGAGAACCTCAAGCCCACTCCACGCTGAGCGTGGAGCCTGACCTAGGGCTTGATCCCACGACCCTGAGCCAAAATCAAGAGTTGGACACTAAACCGACTGGCGCCCGGAAAGAGTCTTTTGGTTTGCCCTTTTCATTTGCTGTCTTTGCTTCTCCCGTTCTCTTTTAACCAGGTCATCCCCATCCATTACAATCTTTTTTTTTTTTTTTTAAGATTTTATTTACTTATTTCACAGAGACATAGCGAGAGAGGGAACACAAGCAGGGGGAGTGGGACAGGGAGAAGCAGGCTTCCCAACGAGCAAGGAGCCTGATGCAGGGCTCGATCGCAGGACGCTGGGATCATGACCTGAGCTGAAGGCAGACACTTAACGACTGAGCCACCCAGGCGCGCCCAGTCATTTTTTTAAAACATCATTAGTAACTTGCATGTCAAATCCAATGGTCATTTCTTTGTCCTCATTTTACTGAGGCAGGGGGTGATTTTCTTCATCCTAAAACACTTTCTTCACTTGATGTCAGGACACCACTGCTCCGTGTTCTTCTCCCATAGGCTAGCCGCTCCTTCTCAGTCTCCTTCTTCATTTTCCTAGCCTCCAAGTGCTGGGGGATTCAGGACATGCTACCCCAAAATATGGCACCTTGGTGTAGTGAATATTTTGAAGGAGTTTGAGAAAACAGCAGAAGCAGAAAGGGCACTCTGATCCCTCCTCCCTTCTCCCCTGCAACTAAAATAACCCTCAGATGAGAGGTGCCCTCCTTATACCCAGAGGAAAGAGCATCCTTATCTTCGAAGACAAAGGGACGCTAAAAAGAATCTGCACAAACAGGCTTTGCCGGGCTTCTCCAGTTACTAAATTCATCTCATACTCCTTAACCTACCATATTCCTCCACGACTGTCCACTCTTCATGGAACCTAGCATAAAAATATGCTCAGGTCTAACTGATTCTCCGGGTCTTCCTTTCCTTATAAAGGCGTCCGTGTCATGTAAAACTTCTATTAAGTAAATTGGTATGCATTTCTCATGTTAATTTGTCTTTGTCAGTTTAATTTCCAGACCGAGCCAGGAAGAAGGTCAAGGAAAAATTTTCCTCCCCTACCGCTGGAATGCCCCAGGCCTCAGGGCTCAGACCTCTTCTCTACTTACACTATTCCCTAGGTGAGCCCATCTAGTCTCATAGTTTTAAATACCATCTTTGAATTTATGACCCACAAAAAAGCCTCCAGAGGCTCCCCATCCAACCTCAAAGTTCTCGCGCCCTCAAAGGCCCTACCTGATGTGCATCCGCCCCGTCCAGGTATCTCTCTGCTCTCATCTCCTCTGCTCCACCCACCTACACTGCATTCCAGCTATAAAGACCTCTGCAGATTCCTGAACATTCAAGGCCTATTCCTGCCATGCAGCCTTTGTCTTTGCTATTCCTTTTGCTTGGGAATTCTCCCAGATATAGACATAGCTCACATTCTCATATTTTCAAGTCTCTGTTGTAATGTCACCTTATCAGACAGCTTTCCTTTGTCATCCTATATAATCACCCGTTCCCATTCTCTATCCCCTTATTTGTTTGCTGTCTGTTTTCTCCTACTAGAATTTAAGGTAAGAGAGCAGAGACTTTGCCTGCTTTACTTATGTATCCCCAGCTCCTTGAACAGCACTTGCTGTTCATGCTCAATGTTCATGTTCATGTATATGCTCAATCAGTGTTGCTGAATGTGCATCAAACATGTTAAAACATACAGGAAATCGTTCTTTATAAAGAAGAATCAGGAGGAGAACAAACAGAAGAATCAGAACACCAACAATTTTAGAAAATAGAATAAAAATCTAACAGACTATAAAATAAGTATGTTTAAGGGACGCCTGGGTGGCTCAGTCAGTTAAGCGTCTGCCTTTGGCTCAGGTCATGATCCCAGGGTCCTGGGTTCAAGTCCTGTACCAGGCTCCTTGCTCAGGGAGCCTGCTTCTCCCTCTGCCTGCCACTCGCTCTGCTTGTGCGTGTGCTCTCTCTCTCTGACAAATAAATAAATAAAATCTTAAAAAAAAAAAAAGTATGTTTAAGATGGCCAAAGGGATAAAAGATATAAAGAGTAGCATATAGTTTTTTTTTTAATATTTTATTTTTATTTATTTGAGAGAGAGAGTGAGCACAAGTGGTGGGGAGGAGCAGAGGGAGAGGGAGAAGCAGGTTCCCCGCTGAGCAGGGAGCCCATCTTGGGGCTCGATCCCAGGACCCTGAGATCATGACCTGAGCTGAAGGCAGATGCTTAACCGACTGAGCCACCCAGGCGCCCCAAGAGTAGCATATAGTTATGAGCATAGATGCTAGAGCCAGGTAGCTGGATTTGGAATTCTGGCTCTACCACTTAATAGCTGCATGACCCTGGGCAATTTATTTAAACTCTGTATCCATTTCCTTATCTGTAAAATGCAACAAAAAATAACTCTTATTTCAAAGGATTATTGTGAGGATTGAATGAGCTGATGTACACATAGCACTCAAACCTACATGTAATAAGGACTTCATAAATGTTAGCCATTCTCCTTTTGCTTTATTAGTATCCACAAGAAAAGAAACCGGGGTGGGGTCGGGGGAGAAGAAGAGGTAGGTTTGAGGAGGAACCAAATGGATTTAATATATGAAAAATATAATTAATGAAATTAAAACACCTCATGTTGCAAGATGGTTGCCCCATCTCCAGCCTGATGTCCACATTCCTGGCAGGAAGAAGAGGAAAAGACAAAAGACAATTACCAACCTAGCCTGTCTTCTTTTTTTTATCAGAGGGAAAAAAAGCTTTCCTGGATGCCTCACCCATGGGACTTACACTTGCAACTCAATAGCCAGAACCATGTCACCTGGTATTTAAGTGTAACTCCCACTAATGGTATATATCAATTACTACTTCTCATTTTTGTCAGTACTTAATATTATCAGACCTTTTAATTTTGCCAATCTTACAAAAATGCAATGGTGTGTCATTGCTTTATTTGTGTGGATTGAACAATTAATGTTTATTGACTACGATTCAGTGAATTGCTTGCTCATTACAATGTTGTTAACACTGTATAACAATTAACTATAAAAAATAATGTTATACAATAAGTATTTATTTAGCTCACAACCCCATGCGTTGTCTGATTTAGGCTGGGCTTGTTAGGACAGCTCTGCTGATCTTGCCTGGGCCCACTCACATACCTAGCAGTCAGTTGATTCTGGGGTGGTTGTGTTATTACATGGTCTCGTATCTTTGTCCCGGGACCAGTTGGCTCGTCTGGCCAATTTCTTCTCATGACAATGCCAAAAGTACAAAAAACCAAAGTGGAAATATATGAAACCTCTTAAGGCTTAGGTTTGCAACGGGCACAATGTCACATCTACCCCACTGTAATAGTCGCAAGCAAATCACATGGCCAAAAGTAAAGTCAAAGGAAGAAGAAATACCTTCTGCCCTGTTAGTGAGAAGAACTGTGAAGTCACACAACAAAGGGTGTGAATATTGGCAGGGGGTGATGAACGGGGACAATTATGCTATCTACACAGTATCCTTTCTTATTTTAAGTTGGGTTGTTTGTCT